TAAGGGACCATAGTGAGCATCGATGCTCCCTGGTTTTTGTGGTGCATTGTTGGAATTATCAGGGAGCAAACGTTTCAGCGCACTTGGAAGGATTTTACGATTGAGGCAATTCTTAAAATGGCCGACTCCCTGTTCTGCTGAACTATGGAGTTGATTGAGACATACACCTAGTGTGAGCTTCTCCAAAGGGTTCCTGGTCAAATCGAATTTGACACCAAATCAATTCAAACATGTTGTTGAAAAGGCCTCATTTGAAGAAGGTAGTGTATGACAGAGTGATAACAGATATGTCAAGAAGAATGCTGGGTGAAAATGACAATTACGAGGGCGAAAAATCTACTTAAAAAATGAGTTTGGAAGTCGTTATAAGCTAAAAGGTGGGTTATTAAAAGTTAATAAAGAATGTTATATTGCATTCACAATAGGAATATAAACCATTTGAATTTATTTTATTCCTTAATATACATTTACCATTTTTGTCACCTGTGGTAATGAAAAAAAAAAAAAAAAAAAAAAAAGCAAGCCAACACTCCATGTTTGCACGAGCTCTTATCTGGCAGGAGACCCAGAACATATCTGGATGCCATCCAAAGCTAATATTTCACAATGTGGGCCTGCCACAAACCTTCACCACTATCACCCAGCTTTTACAGATAAAAGTGTTCTTTTTCATTGCCTGTTTTTTCATCTGTAACAAAACAGTGTGAAGCTGAATATGCATGCGATTGAACGAAAAGTGCTCGAGGTCGCTATAGCTGTTACCAATTCATGAATGTAAATGTGAAAACCTGGATCAGCATTTCATATGAAATAACTCCCAGCTAAAATATTATAATATATAAGAGAAGCACTCCACTGCGGTGTTGCAGTTAAATCTGGAATGACTGACTGCATTTCAGCCTGAGCTAAAGAAACAGAAACAGGCGTTGAGTATTTATGTATGAATAAAAAAACTAAATTCAATCAAGTATTATCAAGGCACAATTTCCACTCTGGGAGATGAAGTAAGGATTTACAAAGCTAAATATATGTGGAGATCGTCGTAGGAGAATGCGTCATGAGGAAGAATGCGAGAGAGAGAGAGAGACGGAGAGAGAGAGACGGAGAGAGAGATGGAGAGAGATGGAGAGAGAGAGACAGAGAGAGAGATGGAGAGAGAGACAGAGAGAGAGACGGAGAGAGAGAGATGGAGAGAGAGACAGAGAGAGAGAGACGGAGAAAGACGGAGAGAGAGACAGGGAGAGAGAGATGGAGAGAGAGAGAGATGGAGAGAGAGACGGAGAGAGAGAGAGATGGAGAGAGAGACACAGAGAGAGAGACGGAGAGAGAGAGAGAGAGACGAGGAGAGAGAGATAAGAGAGAGACAGAGAGTGAGAGAGAGAGAGAGATGGAAAGAGAGAGAGAAATAGAGGGGGTGTAAGAGCTTGAACTTTAATGTCAGCAAACAGAGATCAAACCACACTGTCTCATCAAAAAGGGATTGAAGTGTGTGTGTGTGTGTGCGTGTGTGTGTGTGAGCGTGTGTGTGGAGCAGCAGGTGTGAATGCCTTTTCGGCTTTGAGGAGGCAAAGCTTTGAGATGAGTAACAGCGCTTGTATTGAGGCTGTCCTGTAAGTATGAGACCAGCTGTGTTGTGTGACTGACATGGCAGTCATACACACACAGCCACACACCCATGACCTCCATGACCTTCATGCTAAACTGGACCACCAGCTTCTTATTAAAGCCCGTGTCATGGTGTGTGTGTGTGTGTGTGTGTGTGTGTGTGTGTGAGTGTGTGTGTGTGTGTGTGTGTGTGTGAATGTGTGTGTGTGGGGAGAGAGATGAGTTCAAGTGGAAATCTTTCTTATATTTAAATATTTGTCCTGTTGCTAGTTTTGAGGCACACTCTTGAATTGCAGAGGAAGCGTGTGGAGGTCAGAGAGTCCTTCTTTTCCCCTCAATATTAACTGCAGTCGAATATTGGCTTAGTATATGATTCATTTCCAAATTAGCTGGATAGCAACAAAACTTTAGAATCGAAAGCGTTCAATTTCCCAAAGCGTTCAGATCACATCCCATCCTGTGTGTCAAAACAAACAAACAAACAAACAAACAAACAAACAAACACAAATAACACTCTGCTCTTTTTAAAAATCTGGGTCAGGACACATCAGTACCCATACACAGATGATCAGCAACGTGCAGTGTGGGCAAACAATGACTTCGCACAGAAGATGCAAACATTTACACACACTGTGTGAAAATGACTAGAACTGTCTCATGAAGATATAATATACAAGACACCTTTTAAACATTACTGAGTGTGTGTGGGTGTGTGGGTGTGTGTGTAAGTGTGTGTTTGCACATTGCTCGATGTGCACTCGAGACCTATTTCTGACACAAGTCATAAACAGATCTCAGTGCTCTTTTTTTTTTCCCCTTGGCAAAAATCAGCACATTAAGTGTCTGGTTAACACACTGGACCACAGAGAGAGCTAAAATGGAAAAGCAGTGTCAGCCTTGCTTAAATTTAAAAAAAAGAAAAAAGAAAGAAAGAAAATGAGTAAAAAAAATTAAAAAGGTCATGTGCACAACCCTTTGAGTGCGAAGCCTAAGAGAGGTCACACTCTTCTATTTTATTTTTATGTCTGTGCAGAGCTAAATTCAGACACACATGCCCTAGTCATTTGGGTGCACTGTGAATTCTTTGTGCTCCTTTTAGCTCGCTGAAAATCTCCTCTCCAGTTGAGCATTAAATGTGATCCGTGTTAAAATGAGTTACAGTGTTGTCATGAAGATGCCAAAAAAACGCCCACGTCTTTCAATGAGCTCATTATAAACTCCTCGTGTAGAAAAAACACAAGGTGTTAATATATCTTTTACTACTGCATTTTTTTTAACACATTGCAAATCTATAACATACATCACTGCATTATGGAATGGTTCTCGTATAGTTCCTGTCATATGTGTACAGCTGCACTTTCCTCTGTGCACTGACTTGGCAAGGAAAAGCCATCATGATATACAGTACAGTATGTGAAAACATGAGTAATGTAAAACTCTACATGTCAAATGAATAAATTAGGATGAGGCGAAATAATTAAACCCATGCTGTTTAAAAAGATTCGGAGATCCCCTCCCCATCCTTTAGATGAAAAAACTGCCCTCGTTCCAAGAGCGTGAAGTTGAGCCAGAGTTGAAGAGGCACAAAAGGAGCTGGGTACGATACAGAACTGCTTCGGAGCAGCAAGCACAAACAGGTTTCAGTTTTCATGACCTGACAGAGTGCCAGGTCCTTTCTCTCTCTCTCTCTCTCTCTCTCTCTCTCTCTCTCTCTCTTTTCTTTTTTTTTCTGATGTTGATTTAAGAACTTTCTTTTTTTTTGCCAAACTTGCAGATTTTCTGTGCAGGATACAACAACAGAGCAACAACAAATTTAGCCTTAAGAAGAAAAATAAATAAATAAATAAATAACAATACAAAGCTTTGTAGGGATGTAGCAAATATCAGAAACAATTTCAGATGTGTATTAAGTGCAAATATGATATCAATGTTATAAACACAGACTGTAGCTGTGTAGCTAAAGTGCAAGTTTTTTTTGTTTGTTTATTTGTTTGTTTTTTACTTCAGAATCAAATGCATCTTATTTAATTCATACAAAATATAAATTCTTGCAAAACACAAAAACAGGCTTATAATATGACAGATCAACTACATTTCCCTGTCTGGCCTACAGACATTCTAACACACACACACACACACACACAATATGTTCAATCACATGCACACACACACTACACCCATGCGGGTGAAGATGCAGGCAGAGTTGTGTGCATCTTGGTTAATGACAGATATGTGGCTGTTCTGTGGCCTCTGCTTCACATCAAAGCTGCATTCGGCTGTAATAAAGGCTCTCTGCTCTGCTCTGCTCATCACACATTCCCATCAAACAGCAGCTGGTCCTTCAGGGCTTCCAGAGCACCATGCCAGAGCGCCACTCATTAAAGCAACAGACTCAGCAAGAGCAAATCCCTAATATAAAAGAAAAAAACTATGAAAGAACCAATCAACCATTATTTATTATCATTAGGACTAATATTTGCTTGTTCTAAAGAGTTCATATTTATAGTGCGGTACAAAAGTCTGACAGCACTACTGAAAATGCTTCAACAGGGTGTCCCAAAAGTCTCCATACAACACTTTTGAGCAAAATGTCTTCCGAATACTTACTTTATATTATGTAGTCTTTTTCAGATAGGCTTTAAGAACGCCTTTGAGAAAAGAAAGAAAAGAAGAACGTACTGAAATCATTCTCACGGCTGGATCGGGAAGCTGAGCAGGACTTTAACAGGAAACATGGCGAGCATATCTCACACGACACTGCAGTCAAACTTATTAACAAATCCAAAAAGACTGGAAGTGTTGCGGACCGACCTATAAGAAGTGGACATCCACCAACATCCACTGACACAACTGACGTGGTGCAGGCAAACATAGTCGCCTATATATGGAGGCATTTGAGACACCCTGCATTTTGCATTCTTTTTTAATTTAATACAAAGTATTTTATTACAAAATATATTACCACCATTAACTTGAGTTAAAAAGTCAAAAAAAAAAAAAACTATTTACATGAATTTCAAAATGTCTTTAACGGCTTTAATGACAGCATGCACTCAAGCTGAGAACGAACTCCATATGTTTGTCAAAACCTGATGATCACGGGTTTTACTGGAAGGGATAATAATCAAGGAAAATCTGACCTTTTCTCCAAAGGAGTCTATCCATTTTACATAACACTTATCCGACACAGGGTCACAGGGTGCCTGGAGACCCTGAGGGAGAGGGAACTTGGGGCATAAGGCAGGGGACACCCTGGACGGGTTGCCAACACATCACATGGCACAATTGCACACATTCACACAATTTTGAAATGCCAATCAGCCTACAATGCATGTCTTTGGACTGGGGGAGACAACCGGAGCACCTGAAGGAAACCCCTGAAGCACAGAAGAACATGGTGGAGGTGGGAATCGAACTCTCAACCCTGTAGGTGCGAGGCAAACGTACTAACCACTAAGCCACCATGCCCTAGAAAATAAATAGTGCCCTAGAAAAAGTGCAGAATCATGGAAATTGGATATCACATTTCCAACATGTTTAAATGCTAGTTTTAAATGATTCCAGAAAACAAATTCCCAGATTTTCCATGTGGTCTCAAACTTTATGACCCCACTGCATGCACGATAACTGAAAGATGATGTCACGGGGACTGGAACAACCATTCAAAACATAGGATTGGTTCCATCAAATAAGTCTCCTAGTGCTGTTTGTGCATTCATTAGATTTTTAGAATGCCTGCTCTTCAGGTGACCATGCTGCCAGAGAGATGAAGAGTGAGGAGGGAGCTGGGAATCTGTTATGAGGAGACCGGCCGGCGCTCAAGGTCCCAACGTCACTCGCAGCTAATCTGATTTAAGCACTGGACCATAAAGAGCAGAACCACCTGGAGACAGACACTCTGGTGATAAGAGTCAGTATTTCACTCCAACAGAATTCAGAGGAGATTTATCGTGCCATGGGTGTTGATAAGAGAGTTGCTAGATCAGGTGATTTCTAGTCTGCTATCGTGTTCAAAAGTTCAGACTGAAACAAACAAATGAGTGCACATGTATTCTGTGTCTTTCAGGATACAGAATAGTGAAATGAGTTTAACAACAACAGATTACACTTTCAAGGCAGTACAGAAAAGGAAATAAAAAAGTGCAGCACTTGCATTGTATAGTGCCATCTGTTGACTCGGTTAACAAATTCTGCCTCTCGACTGGCATCTTATTTACAGTTTCAGACGTCTCCATTTCAATTCATTTCACGCCGGCTTAGGCCTGTCCCTGATGTTTTGGCTTGTTCAGAATCAGTTACTGCTGCTTTCTCCACAATACCTTAGTGTATTACTGCTCCTTGTTAGCCTAAACGGCTAAATCTCACAAGAATGTTTTATGCACTTTTGATAAATTACTCAGAGCACAATCCCAACAGTGTTAAAGGCCGTGGATAAGCAGTTTACATGGCTGGCAGGAGAGGGGGGAGAGAGGAGAGAGGGAAGGGGGGTTGCTGCAAGGGGCTTAGGGACAGCATGGAGAATTAAATTGAATAACACAGACAAAATGAGTTCCATGCAGATGGAGGGTATAGCTACGCAAGCAAGAAGCTGAATCAGTGTTGCTAGGAAGCTAGGATAAGTATTGTCCAGGCAATTGGTATAGGTATAGGTAAGTATTGTCTAATTGCTGTTTTTGTGAAAAAGCAGTGGTGGGACAATGATAAAATTTGGGAGAAAAGTAGACCACAAAGAAAGGTTTTTGGCATATTTTTACATAAATATGTAAATAGCATTGGTCATTTCTTAACATTGCTTTAGATGTTAGTCTTTCTGTACAAATAACATTACATTGGTGTGCTCCAAATAGGAACTTCAACATATACCAAAAAAATATATGTATATATACTATGTCTCTTACATATATATATATATATATATATATATATATATATATATATATATATATATATATATATATATATATATATATATATATATATATAGTAATTTGAGCATAAGTATGATCATAAGGCCAGTCTAAATACTCATTACATTTCTGAGAGGCTAGGACTTGTACCCTGTAATCGCTTTATCAGTACAAAGCCCCTAGAGGGTTAACAGCACTACATAAGAGACTCCTTTAGCACATCAGTTCTAAACTGCCCTCGTCCCCCACCCCAGACACCTGTGTTCAAAAAAGAGCCTTTGTCCAGCCTGGCTTAATTTGATCTGACGCTCCCCCACACATGTGGAACAGCTCAGCGGCCCTCATAACCTTAGCTGATTATGGCTGGAGCTCAGAGTGTGCCATTAGACTCTCTAAAATGGAAGAGTGTAGAGGGAGTGTGTGTTAAGTGATGCCTTAATGCCCAAGTGTGTATCTTTCTATGAGTTGAGTCACAAACCGAGAGCTCCACAACCATTTTTAGATGAAGTGATGGAAGGAAGAAGAAGCCTTTATTTGTCACATATATATTACAGCACAATCAAATTCTTTATTTCTTGTTAGGAAGCTGGGGTCAGAGCGCAGGGTCAGCCATGATACCACGCCCCTGGAGCAAGGGCCTTCTCAAGGGCCCAACAGATTCAGCTTGGCTGTGCTGGGGCTTGAAATCCCCAAAGTTCTAATCAGTAACCCAGAGCCTTAACCATTGAGCCCCCAACTTTTACCAGAAAGACACATTTAACATAAATATTTTCACATGGTAAATGCTTGCTACAATATATAGGCATTGCAGTATATGAATTAATCCCTGTTTTTCTTACTCATTTTAGACTGGCCTAATAGGCAATAAATCAGATGTATAAACAGACACTTCAGTTAAGCAGTGCTGTTACTTACGCCCCATGGGAATGATTAGTGAAGCCAGTAGTGCAGGAGGAAATTATTTCTCTTCTGGAAAAAAGCCTGTAACTCGAGAATTTTGTTATGACTCAATAATATTACCACAATGAGTTTTCAACTTGTGCAAGTTGTGTTTAGTTAAATTGGGTTGTCATCTACTCTCAACAAAAAAAATTTAATGAACTACTTTCTACTTTTCAACACAATTTATAAAAAACACAGGTCATTTTAAATTAACATGAATCATGTCATCAGGGCTGTTACTAAAATCATGGGCTCTAGTTTTATTTGTTTAGCCACTCTAGTTTAGATTTTTGGTATTTGTTCTGTTGCTAATCACATATTACAGGCACTGAAAAAGTGCGCTATACTTATCAGCCATCAAATTGTCTTCTCTGATTGAACCGTCAACTGCATTGAAACGCTACAGATACTGTATGTATTTAAACTCATATGGATAAAATAAAGAAACCCTAGTATTTAGTATAAATGCACATTTTAAAACCTACTAGAATTTGGCCTGGAGTCCAAATAGTGACATGTACGTACATTGCATCGGCATTACATTTAGTAGTGTTTAGTACCAGACTTGTATTGTCCAATCACCCTGGCTCTCCTCTACTCCCGCTTCCTTCTGGTTGGCTTTGACAGTGCTTGGCTTATATGCTTCACCTCATCAACACACACCGAAATTCTGCACCTCCTCCTTCACTATTGGGAGTTTGCTCAGGGCATGTTCAAAACAGAGACGGCGCCAAGTACTACAGTAGCACTCTAACACATGCACATGTACGGTGACCGAGTGTATTTTTGATCTAAATGAAAGGTTCAGAATGCGATTATATCTCATGCGAATTAAGTGAGGTAGGTACATTTGTTGTTTGTGATTGGAATCACATTTACTTATAAGTACTTCCACATTATTTGTGGTCATTTGGGGGATTCCGGTACATACAACAAATAGCACTTGCTCTACTAATGTCAAAACACATGTATACCATGCCAAAGAAACAGGCCTGCTTTCACAAACAATTCATTTTCATGCTCTAACTAATCATGGAGACAAGGGGCAGAGACAGAAGATGGGGGAAAAAAAGAAAATATAAAACATTGAGAGGGGAAAGAGAGAGATAGAGATAGCCTGGAGCCTATCCCAGGGGACTTGGAGCACAAGGTGGGGACACCCTGTATAGGGGTGCCAATCCATTGCAGAGCACAATGGTACACACACACACTCCCATTTACACAATACTGACAATTTGGAAATTAAAATCAGAGAACAACACATGTCTTTGGACTGGGGGAGGAAACCAGAGTACTCAAAGGAAACCACCGAAGTACAGGGAGAACACGCAAACTCCGTGCACACAGGGAAGAGGTGGGATTTAAGCCACCAACCCAGAATGTGTGAGGAAAAACTTATAAACTTATAAACTTATAAAAAGTTAAGCTTAAGGTTAAATCTAGAAGCCTTATGGCTTCTTCTTCTGAAAAAGAAGTAGTATGGAGACTCGTGCAACTGAGTAAAGGCCAGATGAAGTATAGCATGCTACAGTGTTCCATTAATGTGAAGGATATCAGGGGGCTTTGGATTGGCCAGTCTAGCTCACACCCTGCTAACTGAGGAGTGTTTCCTCACACTGACAGCTGTGATTAACTGTTCCTAAATCCACTTGAAAATACTTAAGTAATAGAAAGTCGTTTCATTATGAGACTTTTAGAACCATAAAATAAGTGCAAATTGTCCTTATTATTAGATTCACTTTTATGAACAGGATGGCAAGAGCGAGCAAAGGAAAGAGAGTGGAAAAGTTCTACAACAAAATCCACTTACTCAACAAAGAGAGAGAGAGAGAGAGAGAGAGATGTTTCCAATCCCCAAGTAGTTGTGCAATTTCATGCAATTTCTTTTTGTCTGAGGGACCGACTACTATGGCAATTCCCATTACAGCAGAACCACTTCCAAATGAACTCTGTGTGCCACATAGAGAGAGAGAGAGAGAGAGAGAGAGAGAGGAGAGAGAGAGAGAGAGAGAGAGAGAGAGAGAGAGAGAGAGAGAGAGAGGGGGAGGCTGTCCAGGGGTGAGACTGACCGGGCACACACACTCCTCTCTGGCACTGAAAAACACTTGACAGCACTGTTTCCACTTTCGCTGGTCTGTTTCCTCTGCTTCAGGGTGAAAGGTTTCAAATGGGCTCTATAGTGAGTAAATATGCTACTCTGAGCTGGAGTGAAATCATGATTAGCAGTGATTTTGTTCGCATTTGTGTGTGTGTGTGTGTGTGTGTGCGTGTGTGTGTACATGCATGCAAACAGACATGTATGAGCATGTATGAGTGCTGCTACAGCACAACCTGCTGGCTAATGGACACAGCAGAAAAGGTGTATACTTCTTTTGCAGGGGGGAAAAAACAGCTTCTAATAGTTTGATAACTCAGTATACCTGCTCTTATTCAGTCCGGGTCTTGTCGCTGTTTTCATCTTGTTTTTCAAAGGAAACCTGCTTCATTTAATATCACTAGCACACTTGTTCACTGCAGCAAGGAGCAGATGTGAAAGTGATTTAGTAACATAAACATACATGACCCAGACGTCTGGCGCAGACCAATCACACAAAACCCCTCTATGTTTCTCCACAGTAG